ATAAAATACTAATTGTGGCCATTCGGATACTTTTATTATTGGAAATTATTAGTAATATAATGTAGAAAATTACTGTACTATCAAAATTATCAGTATCGATTTTGTGAAAAGAAAGCCTGCTACTTAATATAAATAAAAGTAAAACATATTCTTATTTCATTTATACGATATAAGAAAATGTATGTTTTTACTATAAATATGTGGGAATAATAGCTTTTTATGTGTTGATAAATTGGTTAGCCCAGCCTTTTTAATTATCCTTGAATTCTACACCATAATCGACATCCAGTCTCATTCATTCCTATTGGACGAATGATCAGAGATATTAATTATCAAATAAATCTTGACTGTCGTACACATAGAGTATGACAATTATTGTATATAAATAGTCTCAAAAACATTATAATTTTCATATTCACTTCAAACCGAGTGATCACTTGTCCTGGTTAATTAGTTTTTTCCTCAAGTTGGCTTTGAAATTGTTAATTGTACAATGGGTGTTAATCGCAATCCGCAAATTAAATATACTCAGGTATGTTTACTACTTAATTTATTAACCTTCGCACATAAATTTTATTAATTTAAATTATTTATAAATCCAACAAATTTTGTTAATATGATAAATTATTGCATGAATTACATCAAAATTAAATTATAAAATAAAATTTTTATAAAAAAATATATTTATTCTAATATGCTTAAACAAATATTGCAAATTTTAATATGCAACGTCAACATGTAATCTAGATTCATCATTATATTAAAAATATAATGGGATTTGTTCACAAAATTTAATCTCATTGCGAAATAAAATTGTGAAAAATATGTTAAAAACTGTTTATTATATTATTAAATACTTGTTTGACAAGATATAAAAAATTTGATAAAATTTTATGATTTATTGTACAGATTTATGTCAATTGATATTTCTCTCCAAGTTTGCTGAATATTATTTTTCAATGTCTGTGTTATGCACTAAAACTGAACTTATTATCTGAGATCATTACACATAGAATTCAATTTTGTATCTATTATCAAGCAAAAGTTGATTATAAAAAACAACTTTTAAAATATGTTTTGCACCCTGTTATCAAGGTGCAATTAAAATTAGATAAAACTTGTAAATTAATTGCTTTTATCCCAATATTACGACTACTTGTGAACATTATTTATAATATATATCAGGTATTCATAGACAATGAATGGGTGGACTCCGTGAGTGGGAAGACATTTGAGACGATAAACCCGGCGACCGGACAAGTGATCGCAAAAGTACAGGAGGGGGACAAACAGGACATCGATAGGGCTGTCCAAGCGGCCAGAAATGCATTCAAAAGGGTTTGACACCATTTCCATCTTGAATTAAATGAACACAAACTGTAAATTAAGAATTAATTTTAAAAATACTTCAATTTTCAATCAATAATAGGGTTCAGTTTGGCGTACAATTGATGCCTCAGAAAGGGGTCGACT